ATTCATTTTAACCGAAAATATAAAACAAAAATTAATTTAAATATAAATTACAATAAAATAAACAAATGATCGCAAAAACAGCACAACATGTGATACACACGAGTCATACACCGATAGACTGTATAACAGTTATACTATAACTGAACCAATGCTTACAGTGAATGAGGGCTGACAAGTGAGAGCACCGGTAGGTTTGATCATTGCATCACATATTCATGAATTGCTTATTCTGTGGATTCTGTGATACATTTGCACTCAAATCATGACTCAATCATTGCAATCAATTACACTATTTTTATTTGTTTTATTTTGTAATTTAAGCTTTTATTGCAATATTTTTATTTATAAATAACGAAATAATAAAAAATCAATTAAAAATATTTTATATTAATTTGTTTAAATGATTATTTTGTGAATATTTATAGACATTTAATACAATTTACATTATAATAAACATTTATTGAATATATATTTATATATTAAATCTTTATTAGAGTTTTGAATGATATTAAAGTATTGTAAAAAATAATTGCAAACATTATTAATAAATGATTAGTCTTTTAGATATTATATTAGTCATCGCAGTTGTCTTAAGCAAGTGTTGAGAGTTTCTAAAGTGGTTTCATATCGTTGTTTCTCTTCATCCAAATGTGATTTGTTTTGAATTAAATTCTGAAAACCAATTAAATCGTAAGAATTATGTCAATCGTATCAATGGTTAAGATAAGACAATCTTAAGGGAGATGTGAAACTTACGGCCATTTGTTGACTCAAATATTCTGCTTCTTTGTTGATGTCTTGCAATCTGTTCTTCAATTCGTGACTCTTTTCAAAGAGAAAGTCTTTCTCTTGTTTTCGTTCTGTATTTCAAATTTTAATTAATAAGTATTCAAATATTCCTCAAATTAATACATACCATAAGAATATCTGTCGTACGCTTCCATAACGGCTTCGATTCCTGACCAGTTATGGCCAGAAGTGGATCCAATGTCGACGTAAGGGGTGATGGCATTCATGGGTTGATTGGTCTCTCGTTTCGAGTTAGAGGTATGTCTTTGTTGTTGTTTTGTTGTCTCCAACAGAACTGATTCGTGGAATTCTTGAGCAAAATCTTTATTCAATTGATTGGAATGAAGGCATTGATTGTGAGATCTGTTGTCCACTGAAT